AGAAAACAAATTTCATATGATTCACCAACGTCTGTTCATGCAGTCATTGTTATCAAGTAATACGGAACATCACAATGACATTGATCAAAAACAGATGAGGGATCACATATAACTCAATAAAGCAATTTAATTAAAGCCCAAATAAATTAAAGTGATGTGTAGAAACAAAAAGAAATCGTATTATCGCATTCCACACAAATGTATATAAGAGACTGAGCTCATGGCGACATTATCACAGAGAGTGTCAAGAAAAGAAACATAACACTCGCGAAAACATTAGCTTTAAAAGAACCATCAGTACCTTTTCCCGCAACAATATTATTATTCTGCCCACTCACAGATGAGGTAATGTTTTCTTCCTTAGTTTCACTGGGTTTTGCTTCTGTGGTCGTACTTGCCTCATTTTGTACCACCGGTGAAGTAACTTCCTGGTTACCAGCATTTTCACTTGGTTTAGAGGTTCCAGTGGCCTCAGCAGCTGGTTGACTTGTTTGGACTTCTTCCACAATGTCTGGGTTTGTTGCTGGACCTTGTGATTCATCCAGGGTTTTGTTGATTGTATTGCACACATCAGCGTATTTGGGGCACACAATTTTACCCTGCAGTGCAGTCCCATTCACAGTTAGATTTTCTCCTTCATGACAACTGTGCCACTCATTGTTTCCACTGTACCGCACAATTACCTTCTTGAACTTGCAAGACACCTCCACACACACGGCACCAACTGCTGCTTCTTCTTTGGTCTTTAGACCCTTACCCTCCACACAACGTGAGTTGTTAGCAATTACACTTCCAGGCATTTTATTTTTCTCCTCACCAGTGATGCAGCTGTAACCTTTCTTTGCCATAATAAAAGGACAGAAATCCATTTGTTCAGATTCTTCTGAACCAACCTTGTTCGTGTTCCCTGAAAAGTATTGGAACTGCTCGGGAAGGGGTTTCGCAACGGGGTTAGCCCCAATGCTGCTGCAACTCCCCAGTGACTGGCGGTCAGATGTGCACTTTAGTCCTGCAGGGAAGTCAGTGGATTCGGTTGTGCAGAACATTTTAGAGAAGTCAGGATTCCCGCTGTTTACGCACTTATTATTCAATAATTCACAACCGGAGTTATTACCCCAACTCATCTGCTCTGCCATTGTCCAATTAACTTTGTAGTAGCCCAGATCAGCGAAAGCTCCCAATGTGAGTGCGGTGTAGTATCCAGCACCGACGAGACCAACCATTAACTCATCCTTTGCAATACGACGACTCCAGTGTGACCGTATCATCTTACCTGCGTTATATTGAGTGTTTGTGGGAATTTGTGTTGTCTCAACAATACACTGTTTACCCGTCGCAGTATCCACTTCTTTGCCAGGAGTGCATCCGCTTGGAGATTCAGCAACTGTAGCTTGAAGGTATATTGAACGTCTTTTCGACCACACATTTGATGAATGATGTATATTCTGTGTAAACTTGGCAGCACTGGAACCCTCTTCTCCACGTCTCTCTTGCACAACACTGCCAACAGCCTCCTTCCCTGTCAAACGACCATCAATAACATTACTGTGTGATTTTCCCAACTCATACTCCTCTTGCACGCTTGCAGTCAGAGCGCGGACGGTTGAACTTAGTCGGTCATTCCTTCTACTTCCAGCTTCTCGTACTTGCACAAACGCCATGTTTTGCAGTTCCATACCCTTGAGTGTATCACATTTATAATGGTTCATGGCCTCTCTCCGTGTGTTTTCAGAGGCAACAACAAAAAATTCTGCCTTATCATCCGTAGAATTAACTCTACCCACCATATCTTTCAGTTCCATCTCAGGGACATTAAATCCAAGTGCATGGGCAATCTCATGAGCAGCAACGCGGACACGCTGTGGTGTGGCCACAATATACCGTGGACCGTAATTGATGATCCCAACAACTGGACGACCATCAGGACCTAATGTCGCACATGTTG